AGTTCTCTCCGACTCCAGTCTAGGCGTCTCTTCCTGGCCTCCTGGATGGATTTTCTATCGTAAAGTTTCTAGAGCGGACCCTGTGGCGCGCAGGCTCCTGGTCCTTCGTGGTTTCTTCAAACAGTTGACACCCCCTAGACCTCAGCACTGAATCCCCACATTCCCCAAGTAGAAAGTCCTCCCAGGAGTTAAGAATCCTCTACAAACGTTAACTTTGTATCAAAACACAGGGTGAACAGAGTGGTTTCAAACTGAATTGAGAAGAGACTTTGCTCTGGCCTGGCTGGTGGAAGAAAGGGAGGGGCAAGAAGAAGAAGTACCCAATGGAGGCGAGTTCATAGATGCAGTAAACAGCGTTGGTGCAGACGCGTCTCTGGTGGGTTACTGGTTTAGTCTAAGCCCTTTCATGTAAAACCCACGAAGCACGGGAAGCATGCTAAAAACACAAAATTTAAACCGCAATAATGAAGATTTCCTAGAATAAAATGCTGATTGCAAAACAAAATCGGAGAAAACCAAGCAGCCCGAAGTTTACACTCCCCTGCACATGAGCAGAGGTAGGCCTTTGGGGTTTGGAGCTGGTAAGGAACCTCCAGTCCAGTCCCGGACAGTCGCCAAAGGGGAGGAAGAGCACGGGTTGGGAGAGGGGACCAGCTGCACTGAGACCGTGTATCTCTGGTTAACCAAGGAGCGCCTGGGCTGATCTATACTCACTTTAAGGACCCATACCTTTCCTTCCCTAAGAAAAAGAAATCAAGGCTTTTGTTTGTAAAGAGGTGAGGGTCGGTCGGGAAGATCTCACGACCATAAGAAGGGACTCAGAGAGGGAAGCATCCTAAGCAAGGATGCTTTATCTCTGTTCCAGAGACAAACACGACTTCCCTTTAAACCATCTGCTAAGCAGAAATTGAGATATTCTTGCCAGGGATAAAAAATTTGACGTAATTTGTTACCACAGGCATTCTTACCCAGGAGGTTTGTATAAATTGGTAATTAAAACAAAGTTCAGAGAGGTTTTGCTGTGATGTAGTGGAAGCAGAATGGGAGTGGACACCTGGGCCTGTGCTACAGGTTCCTTTGTCACTTGCTCAAGTGTGACTTTCAGGTAATCAGCTGGTCTTTCTAAGCCTCAGTTTCCTTACCTCTAAAGGGTGGATGAGGATCATGTGCCAGTGCCATGATGTGCTTAGAAAAGCATGTACCTGTGAAGTCTATAAGGAACAAATGCAGGGATTTAGTCTTTGTAGATGTGGGGGTCTCTGCCAGGGGCACAGTTTCCACAGGCAGAAATAGGATCTCCGAGAGAGTTTTGACAAAGAGCCCTTTCCTGCTCAGAAGATCACCAACCTTTTTATCTTTTTGGAGTGCAGGGCGATATTGAGACCCCTAGGAAGAGAAAGGCTCTAGGTCAGCTGACCTGCTCCTGGCTGGGGCTCTCACTGCTCTTGTCCATTGTCCTTCCAGGACTTGTCTAGCATCCTGTAATACCCATCAAACTATAAGTGGCATTTCTTGCACGTTTACAGAAATAGATACCACTGTCACTTGAATGAGGAAGGGAGCCTTTAAAAATCCCTGATAATTTACCCATTTGAATTGGTAGAAACTAACTATGTGTAGAGCAGGTGTTTGTTTGTTTGTCTTAAAGAGTATCTGTGGACCCCCCCCAATATCACTGGCAAAATGAGAGTATTCTGAGAATAGGCTCCAAAGCTTCCATCATGTTTTCAAAAAGACTCCTGACCCCCAAACTAGAAACTACTGGTATACAAGGTTATTCCAAGCCCTGACTGGATTTTAGGTTTGATGCTATTTATGGTTCAGTCTCTGGGTCTTAAAACCTTTTAGGGCCTAACAGCCAAAGTACATAGAATCCCCCAAGTGCAGAAAGTCAGAGAGGGTCTAGTGACAGTGATATTCACTTGCTGAATTTTCCCCCAAATCCATTGCCCACCACCCCATCTACAAATGAAATAATTGCCTTCTTTCTTTCTAGGCTTCTGGCCAATTATCTTCCCAACACACACACTCACACACACACACACACACAGAGAGAGAGAGAGAGAGAGAGAGAGAGAGAGAGAGAGAGGAGCGCCTTTAATATTATCAGTCCTGACTCCACTTGCTATTTTATTTATTTTTCAGACACTTAAAGCATTGATTTAGTGAACACACTATATTCACTTCTATATTTAATTACTTATATTTAAATTATTCCATGCAAAATGACAAAAAGAAGATAAGAGGAAAAAGCTATAAAATAAATAGGGACCCATCCCTAAAAAAAATAAAATAAACAAAACAAACACACACAAAACCTGCTCTCCAGTCACTCAGAAAGAAATTCTTAGAAGTGGAAACTACTGCAAACCCCTACCCCAACTCAATCCAAACATCCCATCCGGAAAAGAACGACTTGTTTCTTTTTTCTATTGGAAATGGGCGGTAAACTGAGTTCATTTTGGCCATGTTTTCTTAGCTGACTCTGGGCTACAATCAAGCCATTTTCGGACACATTCCCATGTAGGTACCAGGGGTGCTCTGGAGGAAGCTGTCGACGCCTGTTCAACTAATTTAGGTTTTCTTTGTCTAATTACTGTGGAGCTTAGGGAAAAGGAGCCCGGCTCAAGGCAGTAAACTGACACTCAGTCTCTGTGTGTGGTATCCAGGCAGGGTTTGATGGAAAAAGCCTGCTTCCACTCAACTTCAGGTCACTGTCTGGGGCCAGACCCAGCCCAACCCCCAGCCTCCCCCTCCCACCCTTCCCACTCTTCTTTTCTGCAGCCCCACTGGCATACTCAGCCAGGAGCAGTCCCCCAGGCACTCTAGGGGCACAGATAGCTAATGCCAGCCCCAAGAGGCCTGGTTTGGTTCTGTTCCACCCAAGGCTCTTTGCTGCCCACCATTCACAGGATCTCAGCACAACTCCCCCTTCTCCTGACCTAACATTTCCCCAGGTTTCCCAGCACTCAGGTTTGTACCTTGGTCCTTTCAGAGTGGAGGCAGAGGTGTGCCCAGCCCTGCCTCCCATGTGGTCCTCTGCAGTACCCCCTCTCCTGACCACCCCCATTAGCCCTTGTGTGGCCGGCCAGCTCCCAGGCCCGCTGCTCTCCACCTCCCATGTCCAGCCCCTGTTCCTGGTCAGACTACATTTCCTTGCACGTGCAATCCAATAACTAACTGTCCAGTCTCACGGGAAGTAATTCCTCCCAGGGCACAACTCCTCTCCCAGGCAGACTCTTACTCAGAGAGGAATTAGCCACACTGTGGTGGTGTATTTGCCCAGAAAACATACCTTCCCCATAATTGTGTTGGTGGACAACTTGAGACTGAGGATGTAAATCTAGTTGCAGTAACACACCCCGTTCTGGAAGGAATATAAATACAGCTATCTCACTTATCTCACTCAGCACCAGCCTTCTTTTTGCATTTTTTACAAAGCATCAAGTGAAAAACACAAAGGAAGTGCAAACAAATGCAAAATGAGTCCTATTCGACCAGACTTCCAGCTTCTCTAAAGTTTTCTCTATCTAAACCCCTCTTCTCAAAGTTCAGCAAATGCTCATGATTGCCCCAAGCCATAACCCTGGGGCGCTAGGGCGCCCTGGCTCCTCGCCCCGTCCTCTACTAACAATTGTGGAGCCTGCAGGTCCTGTCTGAAAGAGAGAGGACTGGCACGTTACCTTTGGGCGTCTGGCACCCTGGCGTGCTGAGTGCTGCAATGTCTAAATGAAGTTGACAGATGGTGTCAGTGCGGGCACCGGAAGAAGACAGCTAAGAAGGCTCCCAGCCGCGGGCGGCGGCACCAGTGGCAGCACCACTCGTCCTGGGACAGGCGAGGAGGAAGAGGAGGAGGAGGAGCGGGAGGGGGGAGAGTAAGGAGAAAGGGGAGGGAGGATGGGGAGAAGGAGGAGAAGGGGGAGGAGGGAGAGGAGCGATAGGTCCAATCCACTGAGGTCAGCTAGTGTCTGGGGTAAGCGGCCAGGGTGCTGTAAGGGGCAAAAGGAATATTTCTTAAAGCCATAGGTGGTCGAGGTTTACTTGGGGTGGGGCTCATCCTAGCAAAAGGGGGAATAGTCTATGATCGCCTCCTTTTAAGGAAGGTGGGTGGGGGAGAGGGAAAGAGGCCCTGAGAGGAATTGAAAGACCGAGGGGGGCCCTGTAGGGCGAGGAAGGAGATAAGAGAGGAACCCTGCCGCCAGGTTGGGAGTGGGGGGAGGCTGAGGGCCCGGGAGGAGCGTGCCCTCCCCGAGGCGGCGGCGCGAGGAGGGGACAGGGCGGGGTAGGGGTGGAGGGAGGGAGGGAGGGAGGGAGGGAGGAAGGGCGGCCGTGGGGAGCGGCGGGAGGGAGGAAGTCTAAGAGACAGAGCGAGGAGCGCTCCTGAAGGAGGCATCGGGCTAGTCCCCCGGTCCCCGCAACAGTCCCTGCTGGCGGCTCAGCTGTCCGGCGCCCGGCCACTTCGGCTCTGAGCCCGGCTGCCCTTGGCAAGCAGGGCGCGAGGCTCGGGGGAGTGATGCGCCGGGCGTTGCTTCAGGCCGCGGCGCCGCCGCCGCCGCTGCCTGAAGCCCCCAGCTGAACTGAGGAAGTCGACACCGAAACCGCTGGCTTCGGAGCGGTCACGGCTTACAGCCCCGGGGGGCGGGCTTAGGGGGGCTCGCCGGGCCTTCTGGGGCCAACCCCCGCTCCGGGGCCCTCCGGTCCCGGGCCCCGGGCCCCGCCCTCGAAGGCCCGGCCTCCTTCTCCGGGGCCCCAGAGGACCAACGGAGGGCGGGGCGGCGGCGGCCTCAAAGGGG